CCCCAAAACCCCAAAACCCCAAAACCCCGCAGTATTAAATTTTAGTTTTAGTTTGAATATGCATATAGTAAATTCTAATTCATCCATATCATTTAAATCATAGTTTTAGTAATTTAGCCATCTTTTTCCTCATTTCCTCGTCTTTAATGTTTGAGGAGATTTGGTTGCTAATGACTTGCTTCCACTTTTCCTGTGATTTTGGAGGTGTTTTGTCTTTCTAGGCCTTCTTTTGAGGTGAATTTCTTGGTTTTGGAATTGTGTTCTTCATCTGAACTCGTTTCTCCTTTACTTCTCTTTTTTTCAAAGGAACTTCTTATTCTTCTGAACACTCTCTGCCTGATGATAATTCTTGTTCACTCTCTGAGTATTCGGCAACGGCTTTCTTGTTCATTCTGATCTCATAGTCTTCCTCAAACTCTGACTTTTCTTGCCTATTGCTATTTTATAAATTTGCCTCGTTGTAGTCGACTCTTCGTCTACTTCTTCTACCTTGAGCAATTAGTTCTTCTTCCTCTTCCAAATTCCTTCTCTAGTTTCTTTATTTCTGCTGCTCTTTGTATTTTTTGGCAGATGACTCTCTATTGTCCTCATCACTTTCAACAAGATCAACGAATGTTACTCTCTTTTTAGACTTTTTAGTTGGCACCTCTTCTTTAAGAGACTCAAGTTTGATACTTGATGCTACTTCTGATTTCTCCTCAACAAACTCTTCATTTACCTATTCTGATAACTCAATGTTTTAAGTGATATCAATCATTTACTCATCAGCAAAACTACTGATTTCTTCTGGCTCTGACTATTAACTCATTGTCTCTTGATTCACAGCAGTAGTATTAATGATCTATTCATCTTCACTATCAGAGTATAACTTTCTGATAATTGCTCTTTATCTTGAAGGCAACTATTCACTTGTCTAAGAATGCTGTAAACTTTTCTGTTCTTCTTAACTCTGTCTTTGATTATATGAGTTTCTCTGCTCTAACTAGTAATTTAGAATCTCTATTCTAGAGTTATCAAAAACAGGTTCAGCTTTGTTCTTATTAGTTGAAGTATCTATCATAAAAATTTCTTATTCTTCAGATACCTTCTCTTATGATAATTCTTCAACTTAAAGTTCTTATTCAAATTCAATGGGCTTTACTTATTTTATTGTTTGAATGTCTACTGATGATGTTTGTACTGGTGATTCATTTATTTCAACTTATTACTCAACCTTTTCAAATACTATATTTGGCTCTTGCTTTTGCTCCTCAATGATTGGCATTACTTGAGCAAGAACTTCTTGTTCTTCAATTTTATTTTGCTATTTTTATTCAATAGGTTTAAAAGCCATATTTTCAGCTGATTGATTGACTGATGAGCTAAGTTTACTTGAATTGAGGATAGTGTTGAATTGCACTTTGTTTGGAGTTTGCACTTTAATTGGTTATGGCCTGTGAATCTGATTAGCATCATTTGATTTTCTAGATTCAGTTGAAATATCTCTCGAGTTGCTTTGACTTGTCGATTCTTTTATCTGCTTCTTAATATTTTATCTCTCAATTGCATCTTGACTGTTTGTTTTGTTGAAAGATTATTAAGAATTTGTGATCTTTGGCTAAGCGTCCTTTTGCAACTAGATTACTGAAGAAGCTGGATAAGTTATAATCATATCTCTATCTTCGATGCTTATCTGACCTTCTTTTATAAGTTCAACTTATATCTCTTAGTTAATAAATATTTTCTTATCCTCACTATCAGTTTGCTATTCAAAGTCAAAACATTTAGATAGGATTTCATGTTCAATCACCTTGCCCTCCACTAATATGAGTTTAGTTATGTTAGGACTTTAAGATCTTGAAGATCTACTATATGATGATTTATTAGGAGTGATATTTGCCGATTGCTTATTTTAATTGAAAGTGGTATCAATGATGTAATTTTATTTAACTTCTTCAATCATAACCTTGTTCTAGGGTATAGCAAGCACTTATTATTTCTATAATTACTAAGGCACAATAACTTCCTCCTCTTCCATTTAATCTTCTTTTTCAGTCTCATAACTATCATCTTCATCATCACTTAGTTTATTTTAAGCAACAGTTGGTTCGTATGTTTACTAGTCATCTTCAAAATCGTTATCATTTTCATTCATCATTACATCATCATCATCAAAAGCACTTTACTGATTTTCCATTTAAACGTTGGAAAAATCTTCATTTTGACTTTCACTCTTAAGCATATCAACCACATTTTATTGCTTGAGAATGCTGCTACTCAAAGTAGGTGGCTCAATTTTATGTAATTGCTCTTATTGGATTATTGAAGGCAACTTATCTGGACTATATTGATTCATTGTTTAGTAGAATCTATTAAAGCTCTCTGCATCATTTGAATACTCAACTTAATTGAGTATTGCTGGAATTTCATTAGATTACATCTATATTTTCTCTTCCTCTTCTAGAGCTTGCTTTTAAATGCTGGATTGTTGAGAGACTCTAGAAACCCATAGATTTCTTTGATTCAATAAAGCTTGCTAATTAACTTATGGCGCAGATAATTCCTCATCAGATGAAGTATTATCTGACTCATCCTCTTCATCGTCATCACTGATTTCTTGAACAATATTCTACTAAATAGTTGATTGTGTTTGAGGAGGCATTTATCTCTAGATCTAGATCTGTTCATAGTTATCGTTATCCTCAATCTCAATAATATCTTGGCTCATATCATGATTATTACTGATTGGAGTTCTGCTCTATTAGGAGACTGTTTTATCCTAAGCTGATTTATCTTCCATTTGAACTTCCAATGATTCCTCTCTATTCATGTCATCTTCTTCCTCAATCATTATCTGATTGTCTTATTTGCTTTCAAATGCAATTACTTCAACTTTCTTTTCAACTTCTACCTGAGCTAATGGTAGCTACTGCAGAATATTGTTTTGATTTTCTATACACTGTTTCTGATTAAAATTTTTATGAGAGTCTTCTTCTGATGGGATTTGATCTACCTCATCATCAGAAAGCAATTCGTTCTCTTAGAATTTTTTGTGTTCTTAGAGCTTTTGATTGACATACTCCTGAGATGCTTAACTCATCAAACTTGAATCACCCTGGAAAGCTTGAATATTAGTCTTTTAGTTAGCCTTCATATTCTCTCCCTCAGATTATGAATAAGATAAGTTATCGTCATTTTCAAAGAGATTCTTGACAATGTTATGACTTTTAATAGTATTATTGCTTGTTATTTGAACACTCTATATTTCTTGCTAAAGCTATTTGCTTCCCATCACTACTTTATTCTAGTTTGACAGATTCTATTGAGGCTGATTAGAGGATTTATTCATCATATTATCCCTTGATGTTGATCTGTTGTTACTAATATTTTGAGGCATTTTCTGGGCGTTGCTGATGTTGTTGCTGTTCTTAAGTGAAAATCCTTAATTTAATTACTATTACTATTATAATGAAGCAGATGATCGTTGATTTTATAGTTAAGGACTCTTGTTGGGAGGCTAAGACAATAATTGCTGCATCCTCTTTGACTTTGCTCCTTGGTTTTGATAAGCCATTGGAGTGAGTGGGGATTATCTATAGTTATCTGCAAAAATAATATTTTGTCTATCGTAAAGTTTTCTAACTCTCTCCATTATTGCAAGTATCTGGCCTTGATCCATTTGGCATTGCTTTTCTAAAAATTCTCTCTTTTACTTCTAATTCTGAGTAGAATCTAAGATTTACTTAAAAGTTCCGATTGTTATCGAGTTCCTCTTGAAATGATTAATGTATTTAGACTCTCCAATGTCATTTAAAATATCCTCCATTTGTTTATCTTTCCCGCAATTAGTTAATTTTATTTTGTATTACTTTATTATTTTATTATCTAGTTGTTATTTTTCCCTCTAATTTGGTTTCTAGGGGTTTTGGGGTTTTGGGGTTTTGGGGTTTTGGGG